TGTCCCAGGTACAGCTGCAGAAGTCTGGCACAAGATTGGTGAAGCTGTCACAGACTCTCTTGCTCACCTGTAGAATGTCTGGGGACAGTGTCTCTAGCACCAGTGCTACTTGGAACTGGGTCAGGTAGCCTGTGAATAAAGGTCTAGAGTGGATGCGAAGGACCTACTACTACAATTACAAGTCGAATTGTGAATATGCACCATCCCTTCAAGGCTGAGTGACTATCACCCCTGACACATCCAAGAACCAGTTTTCGCTGCAGATGAGCTCTGTGAGCACAGAGAACACAGCTGTGTATTACTGTGCAAGAAAAAGAGTGAGAGGACTTTAGTGGAAGCTCAGATATAAACCTCCATGTAGGAGTTTTCAATGCAAGTAGGAGTCACCCAGGAGCTATAAGAGCCACCTGAGACTGACAGGGTTTTTGAGAGAAAAGTTGAAGGGTAAGGGGGCATACAGCACTGGAGAATTCTCAGTACCTGCTCAAGGCCCAGCCAGATAAAGCTGTAGCATACACACTTCCTGGGGTATGGTGTGCCTTGAATTGGTTTGGCTCAGCTGCTCAACGTGAGAGATTCCAGAAAGACATTTTCGCCAACTTAAAAAAAAAGTTTAATTTCCTGAACTTATAACAAAGGTTATAATATGGTCCTCGACAACATGGAGCTCAGATTACACAATTTTCAAGCTCTCAATCTCAATAAAGAGGAATCTTTAAAGAATGCACTGTATTGGGAAAAATTATATGGCCAGTGTCTTAGGTTTCTCTTCTTGGATAAGTGTCTTCCCCACTCCTTCCAACTAAGTTTCCTTTTCTATCCCTTAAATTTTATCACTTAAAGTTCACCTCACTGAACACGAGATCAGTCATTCTGAAGTGTAAAGTTTGGTCACATTAATTATATGTAAACCACTACCCCATCCATGGCATCAAGCACTGGTTTTCCTCAAAAAAACCTCTGAGAACAAGGAACAGAACACCCCTCCCCACTCATTCCTTCCCACAGCCCTGTACCAGCTCTAATCCACTTGCCACTTTGTTAGGTCGTGTATACAATGCAACTTTTACATTCAGCCTGGGGGTTTGATTCATACTCATATTGCTTGTCATCATTTTCACTCAACCTGTGCTGCCCTCCTCCCCTCCAGTTCCCTACGCAGAACTCTTTCTTACCCCAAAGAAACTGCTTCATTCCTGCGTAGTATGCATCTAAATGAATATTGCACTTCGAATTTACATATTTTAGACCTCTCATGTGAGAGAGCCCCTGTAAATTTCATCTTTGCTGACTAACCTGTTTCTTGGGGTGCAACTATTTTCCTACTAATGACCGAAATGCTGCTTTATGGCTCAGCAGCACTGCACTGTGCAGGCAGTCTGCCTCCTCTGTTACCAGGAACCAATTGAAGGGAACCTGGAACACTCCTTTTATTTTGCTCTTTCTACTTATGCTGCTGTTCATCTGGATGCGCAGGCATCCATTAGCTCCTTCAGGAGATCTATAGGCAGGTACACCTTGGAGAAACGGAATCTCTGCATTGAATTGCTTTGGAGATCTCTGTAACAATTTCAACAGTAATTCCACTGATTTAAATTCCAACCACAATTTATGAGTTTTGTTATTTTCCCCAAAATATCCCAATAATTAGAATATTTTGAGTCTTGGGCAATGGCCATTCTTACTGGCCTAAGTGGAGACCTCCATATTTTATTTGCATTTCTCTACTGGCCAAAGATATGGAACATTTTTCATGTCTTTAGTGAGGATTTCACTCGATTTTATCTGGGAGGTGCCTGTTCATTTCAAATGCCTACTTCATTTGAGCATTTTATTTTTAGAAATTTAACATTTTAAATTCTTTATATACCGCATATCACTCCTATGTTGTAGTAGAGCTAGAGGAATTTTTCTTATTTGTTTCTGTCTCCTCACTATGTAGGTTTTGCCTTGCTTTACAGAGGTTTTATTATAAATATAATTCCTTTGTTGATTGTTTCTTGTGCAATGTTTGTTCTATTCAGGAAAAAATCACCAAAGGCTATGTTTCACAATTTTTCCCTCAGGTCATCCTCTCTGTTTCTACATATATGGGATGTATATTGAAGGAATTATCATTTTATTGCACTGCTTGATGAAATATGTAGGTCAAGACTCATTTTTCTACATATGGACAATAAACTTTTCCATAGATAAATATACATATAAATGTTGCATTCTGTCTAGTACATATTGCTGGTCCTTTTGTCTGATATTATTATTATTTTTTTCATGCGGAACCAAGGATTGAACTCAGGCCCTTGCACTTGTCAAGGAAGTGCTTACTCCACTGAGCCATCTTCCCGGTCCCTGTCTGATATTATTTAGAATAAATATCAATGAATTCTGATTCACACAATCAGGTGGAAGTATTTCAAATCAAGACTGTGTGGTGAAAATGACAAGTCTTCTGTGCATATGTGACTTGTGTAAATGTTGCAAAAGTGAAACTAAAAAATGCATCATGAACATCATGAGCTGCCTGGTGACAGGATGCAGGAGGGAAGCATCCTTGCAGTGGAGCCACAGGACACCCTGCAGGAGGACAGGTGTGCGCACTGCTGTGGTTATGTGTGTGGTGATGTGGGAGTTCGTGTGTGTACTTCTTCATTCATACTTCATAAATGAATAGTTCATGTACTAGTTTTGATGCTGTCACAAATAAACTACATTAAGAAAATCGAAAGTTTTTTTACATTTTTTTCATTGACCAGAGATGTGGGATATTTATTTATTTATTCATTTATGTAGTACCTGGGACCTTGCACTTACCAGGCAAGTGCTTATGCTGCTGAAATACCTCCCCAGCCTCTTTTCATACATTTCTTGCCCATTTTTAGTTTTCTTCTGAGAAATTTCTGTTCATTTTTTCATACATTTTCATTTATGTTTTTGTTCTAGGGTTCTTATATTTTGAAATATATATATATATGAATGCCCTGCTCAAGGAGAAGTAGCCAAATTTATTTTTCTCATTCAGTCAATGAAATGCATCAGACACAAAGCACACATATCATGACATCTTTTACATATAAGTAAACAATACATTAAAAGGTTGGAAGAGTAAAATCAAAGACAGATCAAAGGAGTCAGGTGAAGAAATCCCTTTTAATGAAAGTGGGAACCAGGGATGGAGGGAAAAAGGAGAATAGGTAAGTGATAAAAAAGGGTTTGGATTGTGAGCATGCACAACTCCCATGGCTAACTAAAATTCCTTCATTTGTATTTTATTTTAATTTTTTATTTGTTTAGTACAGTGCTTACAGGGTCTCACTACATCGATGGAGCTCATAGTGATTCTCTTGTTTTCAGCCTCCCAAGTGCTCGGATTGCAGGCATGCACCACTACGTTCAGTCTCAATCACCCTTTCAGCGTGTCCGGGGGTGGGGCCGGCATGGCACGCTGGGCATCGAACCCCAGCTGCTGCACTCTACCTAAGAAGGTACTTTAGTCTGCTGAGCTGTCTGGATGGCCTGCAAATTCATTAGTAAAAATTGAATAAGTATGAACATAGATCAAGGTTGGCATAGTGATAGATGATCACAGGTGAAAATGAAAGATGTATTAATATGCATCTACATGAGCACTAGTTCTCTTTTCCCTCAGAAAACAGCAGAATTCAGAAAAAAATGTCCGTGTTCTCCTTGTGGGAAGTGCCTATTAACCTCACCAGATGGGTCACTCTCTGCTTAGGAGCTAGATTGGGAATCAGTGTGTTCCACAGCTAGGAGAACACAAACTTAGTCAAGGTGGCAACAACTTACCAGGCTTCAGATCCTATCCAGATAACAATGTTATAAGACAATTTCATAAGTTTAAATAATTATAAATCAAGCTATATCAATAGAAAAAAAAAGTTTTGGGAGCTGGGGAGATAGCTCAGTAGAAGAAGAGCTTGTCTTGCAAGCGCAAGTTTGGCTTTTGATCATATGTATGACAATTGGTGGAGATGAGGAAATAAACATAGAAGACATGATCACACAGTGAGTTGCAGTGTATTCTTGAATGATATCAGTGACTTGAAACTTCACCATAGCATTCATCTATGCTGTGGACACTGATGCCTCTGAGACAATCAACTGCAAAACTTGTTAAATATCAAGAGGACATACAAACAGTGACTGCATCTGCTGGTGAAAATCAGCCTGACCCCGGTGCTGGTAAATGATAAAAAAGAGTCTTGGTTGTGAACATATACCAACTCTCAGGACGGACTAAAATTCATTGGAATCCTTTGCTGACCTGCAGAGGATCACAGTCGTGGATGCCTGTGTATTCCCAGGGGTGAACCGAAACTGAACACAGATGACTCATCATGGAGTTCAGGCTCATCGGGGTTGATCAGGTTGCTATTCCTATGGAGAACAAGAGATGTCAGTGGGTAAGTAGATTTGAATGCAATAGAACATGAATATGACTGTCCTGAGTAGCATGTAGCTCTCTCTTTGCAAATGTCCAGAGTGAGGTTCAGCTGGTGGAATCTGGGGGAAGATTTATGTTGACAAGGCAGTGGCTGAGACTCTTTTGTGAAGCTAAGGATTCATCTCCCATACCTTTGTCAGGCTCCAGGCCAAACCTGCTCATACTTTGTAGATGTCATGCAGTCATAAGTCATCACCTCTGGAAAAGCATGCCAGAAGTGTACTATAACTGGAAATGGACAGTTTGAGAACCAAGCACATAGCCATATATTACTGTGCAAAAGAAACAGGATGGGTGCAATATGGAGTGTTCAGAAACATGAGCTTTTACACCCAGCACAGGATGCTGTAGATCACTGAACACCAGAAACTTTCCAGGAAGAGGTGCAAATGAAGAAGCTGGGAGTGAGAGCCACTGTATCCTCTGTGAGGTGTTATTCCCCGCTCCCATCAGGACACTATGTGACCAGAGGAGACCCTGATGTTGGAGGTTAGAACCTGCAAGAAACTTAGACATTGAGACATGAGCTGTCAATCAAGGAGGGTTGCCAAATTGTGAATGACACAATTGTCCAGTGTACCTTTGAATCCCTTCTTGTTATAGCCCAGATTTGATATATAAAGATGATATAGTCACTCTAAAAGGAGAAAGCATAATGTGAACCAATGAGGCAAGTAAAAATTCATTTATTCAAGCAGCCAGTGGGGCCTTATGGGTCCACTTCACTTTGGTGGACTGCACCCAGAAGGAGCCTTAGACCCCAGCAGCCAGCAGAGCCAAGTGAGTCCACTTTGTTGGGGCACATGCAGAAGCAGCCGAGTATAGCAGCCAGACTCAAGCCAGGCCTGGTCACTCACTTTGGAGTTCGAGTTCATTAGATGTAGACCTGGTGCTCTGAGGAGCACTGTTAGACCCAGTGAGATACAGACCGAGGTCCAGACCTACAGGAACATCCTGCAGCACAGAGGTGAAAGCAAACAAATGGGGTGAGCTATTCTGCATGGACATCTCTGGGTACATGAAGGGGAGAGGCCCCAACAGCACTCAGGGGAAATGACATTATTTATTATATATTTTTTTAAATTTTCTGACGTTACTGAAGATTCAACTCAGGACCTTGCACATGCCAAGGAAGCAATTCTGATATATCTCCTGAGTCATGGGGAACTAACTTACAAAAAAAATCCCTAATTTAAGAACTGCTTTTTAATATAGCTATGCTTACTCTTATGGTCTAAAAGAACACAACTATTAGTTACAAAAGTAAGAAATGCACAAATATTATTCAGAGTATAATTCATAGATAATGAGGCTTTCCCTCAGGAAATGAAACAAATAACAATAGCACAAAACTTTTGTTTTGATAAATTAAGGGCCAGAGGAATAGAACATTTGGATAATTACTTGAAACAGCAATCATGTTTTCTTTTTTATGTATTTGGTACAGGATTTCACTATACAGATCAGACTCAGTGATTCTCCTTTTCTAGCCTCCCCAGTGCTGGGATTATAGGTGTGCACTACCATGTACCATTTTCATGGCCAGCTTGGTGTGCAAGTGGGCAGGACTGGGGCGGCTTGTGTGCCAGGTTCAAACCCAGTTTCTTGCCCTTGCCTAGGCAGGGTCTTGGAAAGCTGAGCTATTGCCATGAGCCACAATCATCATTTCTTGAACACTGTCGTTATTACCAAACGTCCCCAGCACACCCACATCTTCTATGGGTGTTGCACTTCCTGAGACATCCTTCACCAGAGCTGAAAGCATAGCAAACTCATGCAGCAATAAGGCCTTCCTGGGCTGGAGAGATGGCTCAGTGGTCTAAAGCACCTACTTGGAACAAGCTTAGCAAAAGCATCAGGGACCACGGTTCAATCCCCCAGCACCACATGCCAGCCAGCCCTGCCCCCTGGTGGGCTGAGATGGTCTCTC